GGGCAGTGGTCCCCGCCCCGGGCGGTTCCCCCAGTATCCGCCCCGCGGTTCCCCCAGCTGCGCCCCCTTAGCTTAGCTTTGCTTATCTCATCTTAGCTTAGCCTAGCTTAACTTAGCTTAGCTTAGCTTCGCCTAGCCTAGCTTAGCTTAGCTTAGCATAGTTTAGCTTAGCTTGGCTTAGCCTAATCTAGCTTAGCTTAGCTTAGCTTAGCTCAGCTTAGACTAGCACAGCCCAGCGCGCTTAGCTTAGGTGTAGGTGTAGATGTAGATGTAGATGTAGGTGTAGATGTAAGTGTAGATGTAGATGTACCTATACGACCACCCTGCGGGTGAAAAGGAGGTTGTGGCGGGGTGGGAGGAGGGGGGGGCTCATGACGACAACTGTGATGAACGTGGTGCTGATGGACAGGAAGTCAACAGGAAGCAACTGTGACAACCGGCGGGGCAATGATGAGCAACCATGATGAGCAACCATGATGAGCAACCATGATGAGCAACCGGCGGGCAACCTACGGGACAACGTGGGCTACCGCTTGACAAGGCCGGGGGGGAAAACATTTGTGTTGGCGGACCCCTAGCGACAGCAGGGTGAATTCCTCTCGCTGGGCCACGCAGCTTCGCCTCGCCCGCACGCGCGGCACGAGCACGAACTCGAAACTCGATGTCCCGGCGGGGGGACTCCGTTACACTGCGATCTCACCCCACAACCTCCGATATGTAGATGTGAGTCTCGCTGTTGATGTTGATGTAACTGTATATGCAGGTGTAGATGTTAATGTAGCTGTCGGTGTAGATGTAGATGTTGCTTTCCTAGATGCTCCAACTTTTAGGTAGGGTGGCACTGGGATAATTCAACAGGGAAGGTATTCCTCCTCAAACTGTGCCCCTGGCTTTTTGTTTTATAACAACAACAACAACAACAACAACAACAACAACAACAACAACAACAACAACAACAACAATAACGGTTCCCGCTTAATACTTCCTCGAAATTTACCCTGGTCCCCCGCTCCCGCTTGAGACTTCCTCGCAATTCATTCAAGAATCGCGCGCCCGCCCGAGATTTCCTCGCAATTTACTCAGGCGCCGCGCTCTTGCCATTGAGGAATCGCGCGTTCGCTGGGGATTTGCCTCAGATAAACTTAGAAAACGCTGCCTCACAAGAAACTTCCTGGCTAATCATGCAGAATTCGCGATCGACCCGGCCACCCGGCCCGCCCGTCAGGATCATGCCCTTCGGGCCCCATGCTCGCTCGTTCCATTTGTGCTTCATTGCTGCCCTTCGTGGCCCTCCCTTTGTGGCCCAGTCGTTGCCTTTCGTGGCCCCGATGCTGCCCTCAGTGGCCCCTCGCTGCCCTTCGTGGCCCATGTACACGCCCTTCGTGGCACCCAGTCGCTCGTGCCCTCAGAGGCCCCATTGTTGCCCTCAGTGGCCCACTCGCTGCTTTTTGTAGCCAATATATATATATACATACATATACATATACATATACATATACATATACATATACATAATATATATATATATATATATATATATATATATACATATATATATATATATATATATATATATATAGATACGCCGCTCGTGGCCCCCAGTTGCTCGTGCCCTCAGTGTCCCCATTGTTGCCCTTCGCGGCCCCAGTGTGGCCCCGTGTGCCTCCCCCCCGCTGCCCAATGTGGCCCCCTCGCTGCCCTGCCTGGCCCATACATTCGCTGCCCTGGAATAGGCCTTCTGTGGCCATATATACGCCCTTCGTGGCACCCAATCGCTCGCGCCCTCAGTGGCCCCATTGCTGCCCTTCGTGGCCCCGTTGCTGCCCTCAGTGGCCCCCTCGCTACCTTTTGTGGCCCATACGCACGCCCTTCGGAGCCCCCAGTCGCTCGTGCCCTCAGTGGCCCCATTGTTGCCGTTCGTGGCCTCAGCGTAGCCCCGTGTGCCCCCCCCCCGTTGCCCAATGTGGCCCCCTCGTTGACTCGTTGCCTTTTGTTGCCCATATGTTCGCCCTTCGTGGCCCCCAGTCGCTCGTGCCTTCAGTGGCCCCGTTGCTGCCCTTCGTGGCCCAGCGTAGCCCCTCGTGGCCCCGTCAATGCCCTCAGTGGCCCCATTGCTGACCTTCGTGGCCCCGCTGCTGCCCTCAGTGGCCCCCATCGCTGCCCATTGTGGCCCCGTTGCTGCCCTTGGTGGCCCATGTATACGCCCTTCGTGGCCCCCGCTCGCTCGTGCCCTCAGTGGCCTCATTGCTGCCCTTCGTGGCCCCACTGCTGCTTCAGTGGCCCCATTGCTGCTTCTCTCGTCCGCAGTTCTGCTCCCTCCCTTTTGTCCCTTGCCTCCTTCCCTTCCCCCACTCCTTTCCTCCTCGCTTTCTCTCCCTCTCTCTCTCTCCCTCTCTCTTTCTGTCGCTCTCTCTCTCTCTCTCTATATCCTTTCTCACTCCTCTTGCTTTTTTCCCAACCATCCTGTGGTGTCGGGTCCTCGTCCTCGTTCTCCTCCTCCCCCTGCCTTCTCCTCTCACCCGTCATCATCACCATCATCGTCATCAACATCGCCGTCATCAGCACCATCACCCCTCACACGTTTCTTGGCCCCATAGGGAGCTCCACCGAAGGCCCCAGTGCCGCCGCCCGCATGCGTCCCGCACACTCAATTCGGCACACCCTTCACACGTTTCGGTGCCCCACAGCGAGCTCCACCGAAGACTCCAGTGCTGCCGGCCGCATGCGTCCCGCACACCCAATTCGGCATACCCCTCACACGCTTCGTGGCCCCATAGGGAGCTCCACCGAAAGCCCCAGTGCTGTCGCCCGCATGCGTCCCGCATACCCAAGTCGGCACACCCCTCACACGTTTCTTGGCCCCATAGGGAGCTCCACCGAAGGCCCCAGTGCCGCCGCCCGCATGCGTCCCGCACACTCAATTCGGCACACCCCTCACACGTTTCGTGGCCCCATGGGGATCTCCACCGAAGGCTCCAGTGCTGCCGCCCGCATGCGCCCCGCACACCCAATTCGGCACACCCTTCACACGTTTCGTGGCCCCATGGGGAGCTCCACCGAAGGCTCCAGTGCTGCCGCCCGCATGCGCCCCGCACACCCATTGCGGCACACCCCTCACACGTTTCGTGGCCCCATAGGGAGCTGCACCGAAGGCCCCAGTGCTGCCGGCCGCATGCGTCCCGCACACCCATGTCGGCACACCCCTCACACGCTTCGTGGCCCCATAATGATCTGGTGGTCCCGACAGCTTCCCTAGGGCCGATTTCTTCGTCGTCGTTGTCCGTCGTCGACGTCCGACCTGCGCGCGTTGCGGGGGCTCCGCGTTGCGCGGCGCCCGCAGCCTTGAACTTTGGAGTGCCGGGCAAAGAAGAAGGAAAAGAAGGGGAGGAAGCGGGCGCGATCCTCGTGTGGGGCGTGCCGACATGGACGTCGCGGCGCGCGGGCGCTGCCGTCGGGGTTCCCAGGAAAATTCCTTGCGGAGGCTACGCTCAGTGTCACGAGTTCTCAGAGTCAGGCAGAACCAAACCCTTCACGGTCGGATGAATTTACATTAGGCGACTCCATGCTCGCAGTCATGCAAATAAAATCCATCGCGCGCATATTCATTCAGAATCAGACTCACTGCGCTTAGACTCGCCCGCGCTCAAGCGTTCATACTCAGATCTATCGTTTTCGTTCGTGTTGTGTGCCCTATCACACAATTGGGCACACCCCTCATACGGTTCGTGACCCCACAGGGAGCGCCACCGAATAATAGATTCACAATTGCGGTATTCACAACTGCGTATGGTTGGGTCCTTCGCCAGGCTTTTTTTGTGCTGCGCCCAATGCACGTGGCAGGTCAGGAAGATGCATCCCCCAGAGGGGGATACGATCCAAAGCGAAGCGGGCGGGTATGGGGGGCTTGGGACATACGTGAGGTACGCGTGAGCAGATAAGAGCGAACAGTATTAAACTGATTGTTGTTGTTGTTGCTGTTGTTGTTGTTGTTGGTGGTGGTGGTGGTGGTGGTGGTGGTGTTGAACATTATTACTTCTAAAGAATAATTATTGTTGGGACCCCTGGTGCACGGCCCCCCCGCCGCGCCTAGGCCGCAGCCGCATTTTCATCATTTTCGTGAGGAAGTCTCAGGCAAAACGGGTTGGTCCGGATCCGGTTGTTTTGTTCCCCCCCGCTTTCCCTTGCAAAAAATAAGCTAAAGTGGACATTGCTTGTTCTAACATAACCAAACTTCAAGAATCCTTTGCAACAAATGAGGTAAAGTGGACATTCGCGCGCGCAAGACGAAATCCTTCCAAAACCTTAGTTTTCGTAGCGATTTTAACATAAAAACATCAAGCAACCAATGTTTTTTTTTTTTTTTTGTCAAAATTTCATCCCGCGCGCTCTTGCGGATTCGTAGGAAACCCAACACTTTTTAACATTTCTGTCAAACGGGCTTTTGCGAGCAACTTTTTCGAACTTCTGCAACAACGGTTGCGCACCTGCCAGGGCCATCATCCCTGTCAAATAATACCATGCGGGACACATTCGTTTTTTCTTCGCGCGCGCACGCCGTCGTCGTCGGCCGCGGGGCCCTGAATAGTAGCCACGGTCGTCCGCATGCCACGAAGTGAAGTGTCCGAACGTCATAGGGCGGGAAGCTGGGTGTGGGTGGTGGCGAAGAGTCGTTTGGAAATTTGGTAGAGCTTGAACCGGCCCCCCCACAAAGTGGGGGTATTGCCCGCCTCCTATGAAAACCCTGGCACTGGTGAGAACGGAGTGTCCCCACGTGCTAGTAATTGTTGTTGTTGTTGTTGTTGTTGTTGTTGTTGTTGTTGTTGTTGTTGTTGTTGTTGTTGTTGGCAGGGGCCTGCGTAGGAGGCATGGCCGGCATCATTGGAGCTGTTAATCGCGTGTTTTTGTGATGCCGCGGTGCCCGCCATGCCTCGCCGCAGCCAGTCTTCAGCCCGATATATTGGATTCGTTTTTTCACCGAGCCAATTCGCAGTACTGCCCCGATGCCGGTCTTCCTGAGCGAGAGCTACCAGGTCCAGGTGAAGAACACGTTCATCGATTCCTTCGGCGCGGGCGTCGACGAGGAGGAGTGGCCCATCCCTAGGATGCGGCGCAGCCGCTCCGAGCCCGCTCTGCCCTCCCTCGCCGCGCGGGCGGGCGAGCCAGACGCGGAGGCCGAGGCCCCAGAGAGGCAGCCAGAGGGCAACCAAGAGCTCGTCGGCGCGCTCGACGGGGTGGAGTCCAAGAGGACCGTGGACTTCGGTAGCAAGTCGTGGGGGCCTTCCTTACCCTCGTCGTTGCGGCTTTCTGGCGCGGTAGCGTCGACATGCGTCTGGTAATCGAACGATTCAGCGTCAATTCGCGCCGACTTGGCGTCGATCAGCGTCAATTTAGCGTCGACGAATGTCGATTCGCAAGAGCCAGCAAGATGGTATTGGAGGATCCCATGAGTTGCCGCAGGACCGTGGACGGGGTGCTGGAGGCTCGGCTACATGTAAGAGTGACCCTTCGCTGGGGTGACCTTTGGTGCGAGCCCATATGGGGTCCCCCCAGCATTTGCTTGCGTGCTTTGCTTTGGTCACCGAGCGGCCCCCGAGAGCCGCGCATCAGTCGAAAAATAGAAAGCTGCATAAACAAACGTTTGGCGGTCCGTGTGGATTTCTACGATCTGCGCCGCCAGGGGGAGGTGGGGGCTGGCGCAGATCCAAGGAATCCGTGCAGATCGCCGAAAGTTTCTGTCAATGTTTGTTTCTTCTTCCTCTGGTGTCACTCCTGCCTTGGGCCGCCGCGTAGTAGGCGGACTAGGGTATGGCCTTTGCGAAGCAGGGGCTCGCCCGCGCGCCCTGAAATGCCCCTTCCCGTCTGCACATCGACGTTTTGGCCTCCTGGAGTGAAAAAGGCAGGGCCATCGTCGGTCGAAGTGGAGCTGCAGACCTCGGCCTCTTAGCTGCCGTCCTCTCCAGAGCCGCTCCTGCGTGTAGCCGAGAGGCCGCCTTCCAGCACCTGCCCAGCCTCGGCCCAGACGCGATCGCCGAGGCCCTCTACCGCGCCGCCCGCCGGTTGCGCACGCCGCAGCCTGGGGTGGCCGTGCGGGTGCTCCTCGCGCCGCTGCTGCTGCGGCTGCAGGAGGGCCTCGCGGAGATCCGCGGCGCCAGCCGCCTCTCGCAGCTCGCGTGGTCCCTGGGCAAGTTCGGCGCCCCGGGGGCCACGGCAGTCAGAGGAGGGCCGTGCGAGACACTGGCAGTGGGCCTTCGTCGGCGGCGAGCGAGAGGGGGGGGGAAGTGAGAAGGAGAAGGCCTTCTCAGAAGGCGGTGGGGCTCCTCAGAAGCCCTCGCGCCTTCTGAGAAGTGTTCCGCGTCTTCGGGGAAGGTTTAGAAACCTTGTCAGGAGGCCAGGGGACTTCCGAGCCTTCTGAGAAGGCCCGCCCCTTCTCACTCCCCCCCCGCGCTCGCCGCCAACTTCGTGGGCCCCCCTCGTCGCCACAGCTGGACGCAGCGCGGAAAGATGATGATCCGTTTGGACCCCAGGAGGTGTCCGGGGACCGATTTCGAATTTCCAGTGTCTCAAGCCGCCCTTCTCCGAGATAGGGGGATTATTTGGCACAGGGGGGGATACATCGACCTCGAATGATTGATGGATCGACGATTCATCGGCGAGGCGTCGTCGATGTCAGGACACGCTGCCCAACGACGCACATGGGCGACGCATTGACGATGCATCGACGACGCATGGGGCGGTCTGCATCGACGGTGTATCGACGATGCATGGGCGATGTATCGGCCATTCGAGGTCGATGCATCCCCCCATGCCTATCTGGCCCAATCGTTGCCCCGCAGGCGCTCGCTCCCACCCGAACTGCCCGCTGCCCGCGACCGGCATGGACCAGTGCATGCTCCACGTTTGTCGCCAGTACCCCGCCGTCCTGGCGGAGTGCTCCGACGTGGAGATCACGAACACGCTGTGGGGCCTCGCCCGGCTCTACCCGGGAGGAGCCAGCGGCGCGTCGGGCAGCACGGCGGCCGTGCGCGCTGCGTCCCACGCCGTCGTGCGTAGGTGCCTCGACAGGATGTCGGCGCTGACGGCGCAGTGCCTGGCGAACTCCTTCTGGGCCGTGGCCCGCCTGAAGGTGCAGGGGCCAGACGCGGCGGAGTTCGTGGCGCGCGCTCTGGGTCGCCTCAGCACGGCATCGGAGCTCAGCGTCTTCACCACGCAGGGTATCGCCAACGTCCTGTGGGCCCTCGCCCAGCTGCGGATGACTGGGGCCTGCGCGGGGCCAGCGGACGGCAAGGTTCAGAATGCACTTGTCCAGGTCGCCGAGGCCTCTTCGCATCGCCTCGGGGACTTCCAGCCCCAGGAGCTGTCAATGGTGGCGTGGTCGCTGGCGAAGCTCTATGAGTCGAAGGGCGCGGCGGACCACGGCGGAGCCGCGGCGCGGAGGGGCCGCTGCGCGGCGAGGCCGATGGAGGTGGACGTGATGCTGATGAGGCTGGCCTCGGAGGCGACACGGCGCATCGATATGTTCGAGGACCAGGGCATCTCGAACATCGCGTGGGCCCTGGTCACCCTCGGCCTCGCCGGCGGAGCGCCCGCCACGGCACCGGGGCAGCTCTTCGTTGAGACGGCCATGGACTTCAGCAGCACGGAGCTGTGGGGCTACTCGACCCAGGCCGTGGCGAACCTCCTGTGGGCCTGCGTGCGCCTTGACGTCGCCCGGCTGAAGAAGATCGGGCAGGTAATGGCCCGCTTCTGCTCGGCGGCCGCAGAGGTTGTGACGCAGCGCATGATGGACCAGGGCGCCTGCGGCACGATAACCTGGAAGGATCTCTCTGGCGTGGCAGCCGCGCTGTCGCACAGCAAGCAGAAGTCGCAGCCCGTCATGCGCTTCGTGACGCTACTGGCCCATCGGACAGCCAAGCAGGTGTCTGAGGGCAGCCTCACGGCGCAACAGATGCTCAACATCGCCTTGTCTGTCGCGCGGATGAGGGTTCCACCACACGAGATGCAGGCGCTCGTGGACAACATCGCTGCCTGCATCGCAAAGCGGGGGGACAAGCTCAACCAGTTGGACATGTACCAGTGGGATCAGGTGCAGCAGTGGTGCCCGCCGAGACTGGGCAGCCGCGGCCCTCTCCGCCTCGGCCTTGCGCACTGCGTGCCCGCCACCGCGGTGCAGGCCGTCTCAGGCGACAGGGAGGCGTACAGCATGGGCACCGCGTCGTGGCCTTTGTCGGCCAAGGACTGGCAGGGCGGCCGCACGGGAAGGCGGGTGAGCCTCAACGGGATGTTAGCACGGTGAGGGCGCGCGCTTCTACGCGGCCAGGGCCGCGGCGATGGCGCGCAGCTGGGAAGCTCTGGGCGCGCCCGCATCCGCGATCGGCCGCGCCCACAGGCCTTCGGGGCGGACGAGCCGATGCAGAGGCCTTCCCTCGTCATTGAGGCGCCCCTCGGCCCGATCGAGCAAGCCAGCTGGGAAGCCTCGGGCGCCGCCGTGTCCGCCGTCGGCACGCCATCTGAGCCGTCGAGGCGGCCGAGCCGACGGAGGCGCCTTCCCTCGTCACTGTGGCGCCTCCCATGCCGCAACGGCTTGCAGCTCGAGGGAGCTTGCGTCTCACAAGCAGCAGTAAGCAGCAGCAGGCGGCCCGTGGAGGATAAGGGACGAGGGGTAAGTGCAGCAGTGGGAGCTGGAGGAGAACCCCTGCCCGCTGCTGTTGAGCTTCCAAAAGCGACGGGCCTAACGAACCCGTTGGCCCCGCTGCTCAGAGGCCCCCTCCCGACGGCACCACGGCTGGCCCTCCCGCTCCGTTTCTTGCGCACTTTATCCGCCAGCAGCCCACCTGTTTCCAACGACTCCCTCACACCTACTTTTGTCGTTGTTCGTGCTCGCCGAGGTGGTGTTTCCGACCCTGGTGGACACCATGGTGCCTCTATGCTCCAACCGTCACGGCATGGCTTGTGCTTGCCGTGGCCTTTTCAGGCACCAGTTTCCAACGACTCCCTCACACCTTTTTTGTCGTTGTTCGTGCTCGCCGAGGTGGTGCTTCCCACCCCTGGCGGACACAACGGAGCTTCTACGCTCTAACTGTCACGGCATGGCTTGTGCTTGCCGTGGCCTTTTTAGGCACCGGTTTCCAACGACTCACTCACACATACATGTGTCGTTGTTCGTGCTCGCCGAGGTGGTGCTCCCACCCCTGGCGGACACCACGGTGCCCTTGCGCTCCAACCGTCACGGCATGCATGTGCTTGCCGTTCGTTGTTTAAGCTCGCCAGGGTGGTGCTCCCACCCCTGGCGGACACCACGGTGCCTTTACGCTCCAACTGTCACGACAAGGCTTGTGCTTGCCATGGCTTTTTCAGGTGCTGGCGCTACGTGGCGCTCAGGGCATTGCTTCAAGTTCAGCTCATGCTCACTTGGTTTGTGTGATGCCTGGACGTGTCGGTGCCTGATCGTGTTAGTTATACACCAATGTTGAATGACCGTTCTCGCAGACATCCTCCATTGCGCTTATCATCTGTCAGCCAGCGTGGGTCCCAATCAGTAAGTCATTTTCATTGTGGATGTGTCAGCTACGTGTTGCAAGCTACCTGGTGTAATTTACCTGGCGCAGTTGACTACCCTGCACCGCGCGTGACCACCTCCCATGCTCGTGCAATCATCCCACCCACCCATCCGCAACTTGGTTTGCAAAACCCTTGCGGCGGCGACTGCGATGACTGCTTGGTGCTGGCTGGCGCATCGCTGCGGCTGCGCTAGCGCGTGCAGGCTCGCGCGCAGAGCGGCCAGCTAGTCTGGCGCGACCGCCGCGGCAGTGGTGGCGCTGACCGCTGGGCAATTCCCAGCGCGTCTCGCAGGCCGGGCGGACGCGTGGGCACTTCAGTGCGAGTCGGTGACTCGGGCGGGCGCGGTATCGTGGCGACGTTGACAACGGCAGACACGACGACGATAGCAGCGGTGCTGGTGACGATGATGACAATGACGACGGGCGACTACATAGCGAAACCTCGTCGGACCCACCCAGCGTACGAGGCGGCCACGAGGTGGTCACGGACGGCAGCGCTGCGAAACCTCGCAGGACCCACCAAGCGCACAAGGCGGCAACCAGGCAGGTGGCCATGGGCAGCAGCGTGGCGAAACCTCCCCGCACCCGCCTAGCGCACGAGGTGGCCACGAGGCGGCCACGTGCGGCCATGGGCGAGACCTCGCCAGACTCACCCAGAGCACGTGGCGGACACGAGGCGGCCACAGGCGGCAACGTTATGAAACCTCGCAGGGCCGACCCAGCGCTCAACGTGACCACGAGGCGGCCACGAGGCGGCTGCGAGGCGGCCGCGTGCGGCAACGTCGGGGCACATCGGCGGATCCACCCAGCGCACGAGGCGGCCACGAGGCGACCAAGGGCGGCAACGTGGCGAAACCTCGTCGGACCCACCCAGCGCACAAGGCGGCCACGAGGCGGCTATGGGCGGCAACGTGGCGCAACCTCGCCTGACCAACCCAGCGCACGAGGCGGCCACTAGGCGGCCACGTGCGGCAATGTGGCGAAATTTCGTGGTACCCACAGAGTGCACGAGGCGGCCACAAGGCGGCCACGGGCGGCAACGTGGCGAAACCCTCGGCGGACCAACCCAGCACACGAGGCGGCCACGAGGCGGCCACGGGCGGCAACGTTCCGAAACCCTCGGCGGACCCACCCAGCACACGAGGCGGCCACGAGGCGGCCACGTGCGGCAACGTGGCGAAACCGTCGCCAGACCCATCCAGTTCCTCAGTGAAGCAAGTAAGAGCCCTTCAGTGCAAGCATTGTTTGGGGAATTTTGGCTGATCGGAGGCGAGGGGGTGAGGTCGCAGTGAAGCGGAACGCCCCCCATCGGGAGACCGGTTTCGGTTTCATGTTCGTGTCGTGCGTGCGAGCGAGGCGTGGCTGCGTGGGCGTGCGAGAGGAATGAACCCTCCTCTGGCCAGGGCGCCGCCAGGCCAAAAGACCGCCCCCCCGGGTTGTCCGGCGGTGGCGGGGGGTGTCCCGCTGGTGTCTCGTTGGTGTCCCGTCGGTGCCCCGTCGGTGTCAGATCGATCGTGCGTTCGGTAGTGCGAGACCGATCGTGCGTTTGATCGTAAATTCGGTAGTGGTACTGATAGTGATATCGATAGGGACATCGATCGTGATATCGATATTCATTTCAATAGCGGAATCGATTGTGCGATTGATGGTGGGATCGATCGTGGGATCGATCAAAAGATCATTCGTTATATCGGTAGTGAGGTCGATCGTGGGATCGATAGTTGATCCGATACCAGCAGCATCGCTACGCCCAGCACGACCGATACCAGCAGCATCGCTACGCCCAGCACGTCGGCGAGCAGAGCCACCGCCAGCAGCATCACGGTCGGGACGAGCACAACCGGTACCACGCCAAGCGCGTCGGCGGCCAGTACGACCGAAAGCAGCACCACGAGTGTGACGAGCACGACCGCTACCAGTAGCGCCACGACGCCTGGCACGTCTGCGAGCAGTACGACCGAGAGCAGCACCGCGAGGATGATGAGCACGTCTGGTACCAGCACCAATACGCCCAGCACGTCGGCGAGCGGTACGCCCGAGAGCAACGCCACGGGGGGGACGAGCACGACCGAGACCAGCAGCACCACTACGCCCAGCACGTCGGCGAGCAGTACAACCGAAAGCAGCACCACGAGGGTGACGAGCACGACCGATACCAGCAGCGCCACTACGTCCAGCGGGTCGGTCAGCAGTACGACCGAGAGTAGCACCACGAGGGTGACGAGCGCGAGCGGCGCCAGCAGCACCGCTACGCCCAGCACGTCGGCGAGCAGTACGACTGAGAGCAAAACCACGAGTATGACGATCACGACCGAGACCAGCAGCACCACTACGCCCAGCACGTCGGCGAGCAGTACGACCGAGAGCAGCACCACGACTGTGACGAGCACGACCGGGGTCAGCAGCAACGTCACACCCAGCGCGTCGGCGAACAGTACGGCCTCGAGCAGCACCACGAGTGTGACGAGCACGACCCGTACCAGCAGCACCACTACGCCCAGCGTGTCGGCGAGCAGTACGACCGTGAGCAGCACCACGAGTGTGCCGAGCACGACCGAGACCAGCAGCAACACTACGCCTAGCACGTCGGCGAGCAGTACGACCGAGAGCAGCACCACGAGAGTGACGAGCACGACCGAGACCAGCAGCACAGCCACGCCCAGCGCGTTGGCGAGCAGTACGACTGAGAACAGCACCACGAGTGTGACGAGCACGACTAGTACCAGCAGCACCACTACGCCCAGCACGTCGGCGAATAGTACAACCGAAAGTAGCACCTTGAGTGGGACGAGCACTACTAGCACCAGCAGCACCACTACGCCCAGCAGGTCGGCGAGCGGTACGACCGAAAGCAGCACCACGAGTGGGACGAGCACATCTGGCACCAGGAATACCACTACGCCCAGCGCGTCGGCGAGCAGTACGCCCGAGGGCAGCACCACGAGTGTGGAGAGCACGACCGGTACCAGCAGCACCGCCACGCCCAGCGCGTCGTCGAGCACTATGACCGAGAGCAGCACCATGAGGGTGACGAGCACGACTAGTACCAGCAGCACCACTACGCCCAGCACGTCGGCGAGCAGTACGACCGAGAGCAGCACCACGAGGGGAACGAGCACGACCGAGACCACCAGCACCAGTACGCCCAGCGCGTCGGCGAGCAGTACGACCAAGAGCAGCACCACGAAGGTGACGAGCGCGACCGATGCCAGAAGCACCACCACGCCCAGCACGTCGGCGAGCAGTGCGACCGGGAGCAGCACCACGAGGGTGAGGAGCACGACCGAGACCAGCAGCACCACCACGCCCAGCACGCCGGCGAGCAGTACGACCGGGAGCAGCACCACGAGGGTGGCGACCACGACCGAGACCAGCAGCACCACTACGCTCAGCGCGTCGGCGAGCAGTACGACCGAGAGCAGCACCATGACTGTGACGAGCACGACCGGTACCAGCAGCACCACTACGCCCAGCACGTCGGCGAGCAGTACGACCGAGAGCAGCACCACGAGGATGGCGAGCACGACCGAGACCAGCAGCACCACTATGCCCATCACAGCGGCGAACAGTACGACCGGGAGCAACACCACGAGGGTGACGAGCACGTCCGAGACCAGCAGCACCACTACGCCGAGCACGTCGGCGAGCAGTACGACCGAGAGCAACACCGCGAGGGCGACGAGCACGACCCAGTGCAGTACACATGACAGCACCAGCTCTACGCGGACACCCGCGAGGGGGACCAGACACTCAGTAGGCAGCACCACGACCGGCACCAGGGGCAGCATTACAGAGAGCAGCATTCCTGCGTGGACAGCCGCGAGTGGGCCCAGCAGCACCACAGAGGGCACCACACCTGACAGCGGCCGCTCTACGCTGACATCGGCCGGTCGGGCAGGTCAGAGCGGCACCACGGCGCTACCAGCCGGACGGCGACCAGCAGCACAGAGTGGAACAGCAGCTCCAGCGATACCAGCACCGTCGGCACGACCTGGACCAGCAGCGCCAGCCGGAGCAGAAGCATCAGCGTCACCAGCACGGCAGCCCCACCTGCCCCAGCAGCCGCAGCAGTCACCAGGGCGCCCGAGGAGGAGGAGGATGGCCAGCAACTACGACGAGTACCACCAGCACACGGCGATCATGAAGAGCGACGGGTTTGTGCAGACGGTGTGATGCAATGTTCAGGTTTGCCTTGATTGCTCCTCCCTTCTCTCCTTCTCCGCCTCTCAGTGTAATTTGGTGCATGGGCAGCGTGTGTGGGCCTAGCTCACGGCCGCGTTTGGCCGACCCCACGGGCCGCTTCGCGTCGCCCTCGGCTCGTCTTCTCGTCGCCTGATGTCGGCCCTCCGATGCTGCGGGGCACGGCTGTGCCTCATCACCGTAGTTATTTCATTTACAAACTTTGGCGAGTGCTTGCACCCATACCTGCATCTCCCGCTTTTGCGGCTTGCGTGTCTTGCCCTTTTCCTCCTCCGCCCTCTTCTCGCCCCCTTCTTTTCTGCCCGGTTTCACCAGATGA